TGGCTCATTACACTTCAGCATGGGCTCAAGAGATCCTCCCACTTTGGCCTCTCAAGTATCTGGGACTACAGGTGTGTGTCACCATACCTAATTTTTGAAGTTTTTGTAGAGACAAAGTCTCACCATGTTGCCCAGGCTGGTCTCAAACTCCTAGGCTCAAGCAATCTGCATGCCTCAGCCTCCCAAAATACTGGGATTACCCAGGCGTGAACCACTGTGCGCAGCCAATGAACAGTAATATTTTGAAAAGAATCGTCTTAGCAGTAGGTCTCAAGAGTGGGCTTAAAATAGTAAACGATGCTGTAAATAGATATGCTGTCATCCAGGCTTTGTTGTTTCATTTATAGACCATAGGCAGAGTAGATGTAGCATAATTCTTAAGGCCTAAGAATTTTCAGAATGTTAGGTAAGCACTGGCTTTAAATCACTAGCTGCATTATCCCCTAACAAGAGAGTCAGCTTTGAAGCCAGGCATTGACTTCTCTGTCGCTATGAAAGTCCTAGATGGCATCTTTTTCCTATGTAAGACTGTTTCGTGTAGCCACCTTCATCAATGATCTTAGCTAGATCTTTTAGATAACTTGCTGCAGCTTCTACATCAGCACTAGCTACTTCACCTGTACTTTTATATTAGAGACAGTTTCTTTCCTTCAAACTCATGAACCAACCTCTGCTTGCTTCAAACTTTTCTTCTGTGGCATTCCTCACCTCTCTCAGCCTTCATAGAATTGAATTCCAGTTAGGGCCTTGCTCTCTGGATTAGGCTTTGACTTAAGGGAATGTTGTAGCTCATTTGATCATTTATCCAGACCACTCAGACTTTCTCTGTATCAGCAATAAGGCTGTTTTGCTTTCTTATTTGTGTGTTCACTGGAGTAGCACTTTTAATTTTCTTAAAGAACTTTTCCTTTGCATTCATAACTTGGCTGTTTGGTGTAAGAGGCTCAGCTTTTGACCTCTTGGGACATGTCTTCCTCACTGAGCATTATCATTTCTAGCTTTTGATTTAAAGTGAGAGACCTGTGACTCTTCCTTTCACTTGAATACTTAGAGGCCATTTTAGAGTTCTTAATTAACCTAATTTCAATATTAAATCAGGCGGCCCAAGGAGAGGGAGAGAGTTGAGGCAGTGGCCAGTCAGTAAAGCAGTCAAAACATTTACATTTATTGATTAAATTTGCCATCATAAATAGATATGGTTCATGGTGCCCCAAAACAATTAACAATAGTAACATTAAAGATCACTGATCACAGATATAATAATAATGAAAAAGTTTGGAATATTGCAAGAATTACCAAAATGTGACACAGAGACATGAAGTGACGGACATGACATGAGCACAATGGCACTGATAGACTTGCTTAATACAGGGTTGCCACAGACCTTCAATTTATTTAAAAAAAAAAAATCTGCAAAGTGCAATAAAGCAAAGTGCAAGAAAATAAGGTAAGCCTGGCCAGGCACAGTGGCTCATGCCTGTAATCCTAGCACTTTGGGAGGCCAAGGTGGGCAGATCACGAGGTCAGGATTTCGAGACCAGCCTGACCAACATGGTGAAACCTTGTCTCTACTAAAAATAAAAAAATTAGTTGGGCATGGTGGCAAGTGCCTGTAATCCCAGTTACTCGGGAGGCTGAGGCAGGAGAATCGTTTGAACCCTGGAGGCAGAGGTTGCAGTGAGCCGAGTAGCCTGGGCAACAGAGCAAGACTCCATCTCAAAAAATAAATAAAAAATAAGGTGTGCCTATAATGTATAAAGTACAAACAGCTGCCTTTATTTTGAAGTAGGAAAAATCAGCTGAAGGATTTTGTTCCTGCAGTTTTTCTCAGTTCCAAATGACCTTTTCTCACAGTCATAACAGTCCACTGAGACAGACACCGATCCTTGAAGCCATGGGTCTTCTAAGAGAGCAATAACCGGGACGGTATCACTTCTGACCTCACTCTGACCTAAAGAAGGAACATCCTGCCAACTTGGCAAAAAGCTTTATTCCCAGATGCTTTGCTAATTGAGGTCTTAGTGTTTTCTGATAATCAGTAGTGTTCTGCAAAACTTCTTTATAGGACTTAACATACTTGTAGTAATTTAAATAACTATTTATTAGTCTATTATTTTCTCTTAAGCTGTCAACTTTACCAGAACAGAAAGTCTATTTTGTTCATCACTGTCTTCCTGGTCTTAGCATATAGGTACTCAAATATTTGTTGGTATACTAACTGTGTTATTTTACATATCCTAGGATGTGGATCCTATAAAATTTAGAGTCATGTGCCAGCTTGGGCATCCTCATAATGTGGTGGGCGGATCTCAAGAGAGCAAGGCAGAAGTGCATGGCATTTTAATGACTTAGTTTTGGAAATCATGTATAGCATTTGTTATTTATGTCATATCTTATTGGTCAAAGTAGTCACAAAGTACTTTCCAAGTTCAAGGTGAGAGAATAAGGATTTCATCACTTGATGGTAACAGCGTCATAGACACATAAGAACATGTGAAATGGGAGATCTTGTATTGACTATCTTTGAAAAAGGATGCTACAGTTTATAATTTTCACCAAATTTGGAAAACGTTTGGCCCTTATTTCTTCAAATGTATTTTCTGTCCCCCTCCACTGTTTTTTTTGAGACTATAATTATATGTACGCTTTATATCTCACTAATGAAGACTTTGCTTCTTCCTTTTCAGTTATTTTTTCTCTCTGCCTTATTCTGTATAGTTTGTGTTGCTATTGTCTTCAGGTTTACTGTTATTTTCTTCTGTGGTCTCCAATCTGTTAAGCTCATCTGCTGAATTTTTTTACATCTTTTATTTTCTCACCTTGTTATGTTCATATTTTCCTTCAAATTCTTGAGCATATTTATTGCAACTATTTTAAGTTAACTATTAACTTGTCTGCTAATTCTCTTATGTATCACATTTCTGGGTCTGTTTCTATTAACATTCACCCACCACAATTACAGATATTTTTCTGCTTCATATAGCTAGTAATTCATTGTATGCTAGACATAACAAGTGCCACATTAAGTATCTAGATATTGTCGTCTTTAAAGAATATTGGCCAGGCACAGTGGCTCACACCTGTAATCCCAGCACTTTGGGAGGCCGAGGCAGGCAGATCCCCTGAGGTCAGGAGTTCAAGACCAGCCCTGGCCAACATGGTAAAACCCCATATCTACTAAAAATACAAAAATTAGCCTGGCATGGTGGCAGATGCCTGTAATCCCAGCTTCCTGGGAGGCCAAGGCAGCAGAATCCCTTGAATCTGGGAGGCGGAGATTGCAGTGAGCCGTGATTGTGCCATTGAACTCCAGCCTGGGCAACAAGAGCAAGACTTCGTCTCAAAAAAAAGAAAATTGAAATTTGTTTTTGCAGGTAGTTACTAGTCAGCTTGATACTTTCAAAGCTTGCTTTTACACTTTGTTAAGGCAAGTGTTTGGAATAGTTTTTGCTCTAGGACTAGCGTAGCTCTACTACTAAAGGATGATTCTCCTTAGAGCTCCAATGAATATTCCTGGTATTCAAAGTCCTCCTATCTGGATAGTGGGAACACAGATGTTCCCCAGCTTGTATGAGCTCTGGGAATTGCTCCACTTGCAATTTTAGTTTGCAGTTTCATTGCCTGTCTTGGTGGGGTTTCACCTAACACGTGTAGGTTAGTATTCAGTAATGGACTAAAGGGATCCCCATGCAGAAGTCTCCCTTCCGGAGGTCTTTCTCTGCACTGCAAAGCTCAGCCACCTCAGTTTTCACAAATTCCAATCTCAGTCTACTCAGTTCATCAAGAAAGATACATTATGGTCTGCAAAGTGCTTCTGGGCAGAAAGCTGGAATGATCACAGGGCTCACCTTATTTGTTTCCCTTTTCTCAAGGATCACAATTCTTTACTGCCTATTGTCCGCTGTTTATATCAATTTTTTCATATATCTTTGATCCAGTTTTCTAGTTGTATGCAGTGGAAGAGAAGATTCTGTACCAGTAATACAACATGTTGAAATACGAATTTTATCTTCAGGATTTCTTTCTTCTTTTAACCACTTAAAGTACAACTTAAGTTTCCAAATGTAAAAGTCAACTTTGAGTTAGAATAACTAACTTGGCTTCAAGTTTCAGGCCTACCTCTAACTTGCTGCATGAATATTGTCAAATCTTATTTGTTCTTTGGCAGACACAGCAAAATTGAATTGAATATAATCCTATTCTCCCTACTTCCCAGGTGTTCTGTAATAAGCAAATGGAAATAAAAGCAAACACTAAGGATGAGGTTATATTTATAGTTAGTTGACAACTCACTTCTGAAACCTCTCTTGCCTTATCTTCCAGCTCTACTCTCTAAAGAATAAAAGTGGCTGAGTTAAAAGTGTAGTGAGACTGGTGCTGTTTCACTGCTGCTCCTCTTAATATTAGCCAACTGTTACTGAATGCTTTTTATGTGCCAGGAACTGTGTAAGCCTTTTATGTGAATAAATTTACTAAATGTTCATAACTGCCATATGGATAGGTACTCTTATTGTCCCCATTTCACACTTGAGAATAAGACAGAGATTAAGCAACTTGGAGAAGGTCACACAGCAAAGTGGCAGTGGCAGAACTGGGACTGATTCTTGTGCCATGCTCTTAACCACCACTGTGTGACTACTTAAAAGCTACTGAAAAATGCATCAACTGCTGCTGATGTAGAATCATTAATTATCCTTAAATATAAAAGAGCATTATCTCTGCCATCCCTTTAACAAATCTTGTTTGTTTAGACAGCCTGACTGATTTCCATAGAGAAGCAGAAAGATTGGGCTGTCATTGGAATATATGATTCCTGAGAAAAACACCGTCAGGATGGCAGGAAATGGAGATGATGTCCAGCACCAACTACCTGGCAAATAGGCTATATAAGTGGAGTACAAAGGATCTAGTGGGGTTCTTAAAGGGTCACTGGTGGGTACTGAATCTCTCCTGTCTTTTAATATTAATAGGCTCATTATTCTTTTTCTCTTTTTTCTCAGACACATTTAATTGAACCAGGCACCAAAATGTTAACACTCCTTCCTGAAGAAAGACAGACTAAGGTTTCTTTTAATCAAAGCAGAGCTCCATCTACAGGCATTTGCCAGAGAAGCATTGCTTCCTTCTTCACCTTGCAGCCAGGTATGGTGACCCATATGGGAATACTTCATTATCCAGAGCAAAAAATTGAGTGTGTTCATTTGTCCATGTTAGAACATATAAGAGAAATGGTGAAACCAGTGCATTGTGTTAAACGTAGCTGACCTATTAGAAGAGGTTATAAAACATAAGAAGTCATTGCCTTTTGAAAAGCAGTATATATATATGCTTTTACAAATATACTTTTCTGCTTCTGTTTTGTTCAGCTTAATATTAAATTTTTGTATTTGCTGACAGAGCAGTGAGGAGAGGTGTACTTGGGAGTTGGAGGTGCACTGGGGAATTGCCCTGCCATTAGTTAGGTGGTATGTATCTTGGCTGGGCCACAGTGGGTCCTCTATGTAAGGTTAATTGATAATTGATATTTTTGTGTGAAGCTTTTCAGATTAATGAAGATTCAAAGATGACTTTTCATAGAAAAGCTCACATAAAGTTGGTTTGTGTCTTATCCTTTGGCATTTCTTTGCTTACAGATCTCTGTTTGGGGAGCAGCTGACTCAGAGTAGGCTGGGCCTTAAACAGCAGGGCTCCTGCCACTTGGAGGGTGTTAGGAAGAGTGCTCTAATGCCGGGTGTGAGTCTCAGGATTGCTTTGCGTAAACATTCAAAATGCCCTCTTCCTCCTCCAAACAAAAATGTAAACACTCTTTTGCTTTATGTAACAAGGACAGATTTTAAAAAAAACAAAAAAACAAAAAAAAACACCTTTTTCTATTTACAAATTCTGGTGTATTTTATAGTCTTGAATTCTTAGGAAAAGCTGAGAATTCTCACAAAACCTAGTTTCTGTAGTATAATTCTTAGGGGAGAAGGAAAGAGGAAGTCAGTTATTCTGTTTTGTTTTTATAATTAGATCTTGATATAATTTGTGCCAAGTTGGGAATTCCATGTCCTTCATATTTGTCTTAAGGCAGAACAGAATCCACTCTATGCCCGATAAAATTAACAGGCCAAACACTAGTAGTTATTTTACTATTCTACCTACTGATTGACTTAGCATCCTAACCGTGTCTTCACTCCCTTTCCAATGAAATGCTTGGGAAGTGGAGAACCCATGTTTTTCACACTGTCACCAGAAAGTTTCTCAGAGTTGGATGGTTAATGTAATCTTTAAGACCTTACAAAACTAGCATGTGTTTTCCAATATCTAGGAATGTATATTTGGCCAGGATCACCATTTAGTAAAAACCACATTAAGTAAAAAAACAAAAGCAAAACTGATATGCCCTATATTAAACCCACAAATGAAAACTCAGCTGGTAAAGTAGGCTGTGGTCTGATTACATGCGATGTTTGACTTGATTTTATTTTGTTTTCTCTCTCTTTTTTTTTTTTTGATGTTTGACTTTATTAGGTAGATGATGGGAAGCATTCATGTATTTGAGTAGGGAATTTAAGATCTGATGTTTTAGAGATCATTAAAGAGAAACTGGCAAGGTTGAAAGCAGGAAGATTAGTTACAAAATTATGTGAAGAGTCTAAGACTCCTGCACTAGGTAGTAACAGTAGCTAGTATTGATTTCAGAAAAAGCTTAGGGCAGTTTTTCTGCAGAATAATATTTGTTCATTCCTGTTTTAGGAAAGACAAATGGTAGTGACCAGAAGAATGTTTCATCTCATACAGAAAGTCAAATCTCGTACAGAAAGTTCATCTCATACAGAAAGTCAAATGGACAGAAAGAGTCCAAGAAAAATGCTACCCAGCTGGACTGTCTGATCCCAGGCTTAGCACATGATTGCATGGCATCCCCGTTAGCCACTTCGACCACCGCAGACATCCAGGAAGCTGGACTTTCTCCTCAGTCCCTCCAGACTTCTGGCCACCACAGAATGAAAACCCCATTTTTGACTGAGCTGTCTTTGCTCCAGCCTGATACTCTAGACTGTGCTGGAGAGAGTAATGCCCCACTGGCTTTATCCTTCACTGAGGACTTGGAAAGTTCTTGTTTGCTGGACCAAAAGGAAGAAAAAGGGGATTCTGCCACGAAAAGGGAATGGCTTCATAGATCTAAGAAAAACTATCAGGGTATGGAGAAACATACCAAACTATCTGAGGAAAAATGCTGTCAGCCCTTAGGCAAGACTAAATTGGAAAGGAAGGTGTCTGCCACAGAAAACAGGCAGGCCCCTGTCCTCCTTCAAACCTACAGGGAATCCTGGAATGGAGAAAACATAGAATTAGTGAAACAAAGCCCTTGTCCTATTTCTCTGTTTTCCTGGGATAATGAAACGAATGACAAGGACTCCTGGAGTCAACTTTTCACTGAAGATTCTCAAGGCCAGCGGGTCATTGCCCACAACACTAGAGCTCCTTTTCAAGATGTAACCAATAACTGGAATCAGGACTTAGGGCCATTTCCTAACAGTCCTTGGGCTCAGTGCCAGGAGGATGGGCCAACTCAAAATCTGAAGCCTGATTTGCTCTTTACCCAGGACTCTGAAGGTAATCAAGTTATCAGGCACCAATTCTAAATGTTTTTATGAAGCTTTGTTTCTAAAAGTACCCTGAAATGACAGAGATGTAGGAAACTATAGTTGTGGGTGGAGAGAGGAGTGAGTTTGTTTAGTTGGGAAGGTGGCATGGGATAAAGTTGTCATTACTGAGCATCTTCTGTGTAAGTAAAGCAGGCAGTACCATTGTTAAGACAGTGGGACTGGCATCATGGCTTTCCCTCAGGAAGAAAGTAGCTGGTAAATTCCCTGAATGAGTCTATGATGAACACTGAGGCAGCACATTGTGTATTTATCCCTCCATGAAAGCACCTTTTACTCAGCCTGCACAGAGCCATCTCTTTGCCCTTCCAGATCCCTGACTGGGACCCTGCTTATGGATTTGTAAGCTTTCAATCTCTGGCTGTAATCTTACCCACTTCAACCTCTTGACCCTTTTTTTTTTTTTTTGAGTGATTAGGCAAATCTCCCCACGACCCAGGTGTGGGGAGAAGAGAGGCAGAATGGGGTGCTAGTTTCTTATTTTATTTTTGTGGTAACTGTACAGCACTTTAAAGTTACATACTTTATGTTTAAATATCCCTCTTAAGCCTGAGCTGGCCAGGCGCAGTGGCTCACGCCTATAATCCCAGCACTTTGGGAGGCCGAGGTGGGCGGATCATGAGGTTACGAGATAGAGACCATCCTGGACAACATGGTTAAAACCCCATCTCTGTTAAAAATAAAAAAATTAGCTCAGCGTGGTGGCACATGCCTGTTATCCCAGCTACTAGGTGAAGCAAGAGAATCGCTTGAACCCAGGAGGTGGAGGTTGCTGTGAGCCAAGATTGCACTACTGCACTCCAGCCTGGTGACAGAAAGAGACTGTCTCAAAAAAAAGCCTCAGTTATATAACAATCTATATGTGACTAATGTTATCCTTTTCCCACAAGATGGGACAGAATCCCCTTTGTAAAACTATGAATCCAAATAAATGTTTACAAAGTGGTTCTTAAGATAATGAAACCGTTACAAATTTTATTTTTGAAAATGTAGTGTTGTAATAGTATATGCTGTCATTGCCGAGTCTGATCTGAACCAGTGTCTAGTTTGACCTGTCTTCTACCCAAGGCATTGTCCTTTGTTGTTAATGTGGTACCTAAGGGGCTTAAACAACCTCTAGGGGACAAATTTGCAGGTTATAAGATGGAACTGCTTTTTCTTTTTTTTTGAGACGGAGTTTCGCTCGTTACCCAGGCTGTAGTGCAACGGCGCAATCTCGGCTCACCACAACCCTCCACCTCCTGGGTTCAGGCAATTCTCCTGCCTCAGCCTCCTGAGTAGCTGGGATTACAGGGACACGCCACCATGCCCAGCTAATTTTTTGTATTTTTAGTAGAGACAGGGCTTCACCATGTTGACCAGGATGGTCTCGATCTCTTGACCTCATGATCCACCCACCTCAGCCTCCCAAAGTGCTGGGATTACAGGCGTGAGCCACCATGCCCGGCCTGCTTTTTTTTTTTTTTTTTTAACTTAAATTTTTTAGTTTGTTTGAGACATGGTCTCGCTCTGTTGCCCAGGCTGGAGTGTAGTGGCATGAACACGGTTCACTGCATCTTGAACCTCTTAGGCGCAAGTGATTGTCCCACCTCAGCCTCCCAAGCAGCTGGAACTATAGGCACACGTCACCATGCCCAGCTAAATTTTAAATTACTTTGAGGTCTTGTTGCCCAGGCTGATCTTGAACTCCCAAAGTGCTGTGATTAGAGGTATGAGCCACTGTGGCTGGCCTAATTTAAATGTTGAATTCTACTTTTATCTTGTATGTCATCTTTCGGGTCATTTTCCTGAAAGAACTGCTTTTAAGATTGTATGGGACTGAGTGCAGTGGCTCATGTCTGTAATCTCAATGCTCTGGGAGACTGAGGTGGGAGGTTTGCTTGAGGCCAGGAGTTCGAGACCATCCTGGGCCACACAGCAAGACTCCATCTCTACAAAAAAATTTAAAAATGTCCTGGGTGTGGAGGTACACACCTGTAGTCCCAGAAGGTGGGGGGCTAGCTTGAGCCCAGGAGTTTAGAGGCTGCAGTTAGCTAATGATCTCACCACTACACTCTGGCCTAAGCATGACAGAGCTAGATCCAGTTTCTAAAAAAAAGAGTGTAGGGCAAAATCTCTACAGAAAGGGGGAAGAAACCCCCTAGAAGGGCAGGAAAGAGAAGAAGCCAGTAGCCTGTTTAACTTCATACACCTTAAAATTAACAATAATCCTATATCCCTGGAGGATACTGGGTAACCACAACTCAAAAGATGGACACAAGAAATGCATTCTCTCTCCAAATCCTTCCTTTAATGTCAGGTAGTACTTCAACCCAAACACACAAAGTATACATACCATAGAGAAAGGGACCTGAGGGCATCTGAGTCATGCATGGCGTGGTAGGTACAAACCTTGGCTCAACCCAAAGGAGCAGTCAAGGGCCTCGAAGAAAGACAATGGTATGCTCGTTCCCCCTCCTTTCTCTTTCCTACTGGGCTTAAAGTCAGTGGAAAAGAACGCTTTTAATCGGTGGAACTGATAAGGCCTCAGGGCCCTGGAGGGTAGACTTGGTTGTTCAGTAATATAAAATATCTTTAAGGAAAAAAACAGCCCAGGCTTCCCAGCAATAGACCATGTATCAGCTGGTTCAGCAGCCTGACCTCTACATCTAGACAAGGAAGTGAGGAGGGTGATTGCTGGGCATTGGTGTAGGTTTATGATGGAGCAGCATAAGATTTTCCGTGCCCTGTGAAATGTATACAAACAGAGCCCCTTACCCTCAGCCCTGCTCTGCTGCAAGGAAGCTGCTGAGAGTGAGTGACAGCTGGGCACAGTGTCTTGTGAGACCAATTATAGGGTCTAATGCAGTGAAGTAAATCAGTCATTTAGGACCTATTTTCACACAGGGGCAAGGAAAAACCAGAAACAACTTCTCTCCTACCCTTTAAACTGAGACACTTCATTCTGCACAATTACCTGTAACAAATGTCTCAGGTCAAATCATAGGCCTTAGCTTCTGCTAGGGTTTGAAGTCTGGGAAACATACAATCCAGTTCTTCTCTTTCAGTCCAAGCTCTAGCTTGTCAGCAAGATTGCTGACAATTTCTCCTTGAGAGGCAGAAAAATCTGCAGTGAGGAAGGCAGCTATTGAAGGTATTCCAGGAGCATGAGACTGAGTTTGCAGAGCTGAGGGTTCAGTTTCCTTTTCTACTGATATCTTCTTCCTTTAGAGCAAATTTCCTCCGTAGGACCTCAGAGATAAGCACAGCAGGGTCTTCCTCCTTCAATAAACTCCGGTTCCTAGAGGCACAATAACAGCTTGAGTACTTCTTCCTGGGTAGTGCTGTCTATCTTTGAATACATTATCTCATTGAATCCTCACACAATCTTAAGAGGTAGGTGCTACTACAATTCCCTTTCACAGATACAGAAATTGAAGCATAGGAAAGTTATACAAGTTGCCCAAGGTCAGTAGTCACTCAGCAAGTAAGTGGTGAATCCAGAGTTCAAAACCAAACTAGCTGGTTCCAGATCTCTTCTCTTAACTAGAATGCTTTACTAGTTCCTGAAATAGCTATAAAGTGTGGGTAAAGTAAAGGACCATCAATCTGTAAGAGCTGGCCTCTGGTGGCTAATAAGCTTCTGCTTCTGCCTTCTGGCCCTATGTTTTCATAGTAGCATTTCCCCAGGTCAGCAAGGGAAGTGACTGATGACTCTTGGCTATTCTGACCCTTAATAGTTCTGGAGAAAAGGTGTGTTTGGGATTTCCTACTACCCTGTCTCCCTTTCAGGGGAGATGATGTTTTTATAAGAGCCAGAATTAGAGCAAAACATTCACTTAAGAAACTCATGGGAACAAAACCAACTCCAAACTGAAGTCCAAATTATCAGATACATTATATAACAGGGTCCTAGATACCTGGAAAATAGTTGCTTGAAATCCTAGTGAACTTATATACGTGTATCCTCATGAAGGTGTTTGATTGGTGATTAAGCTAAATATAAAGGCCAAGACTGACTATTCAACATTCAAAGCAAAAACAAGACTGCATTTGGTTGGTGACATTTCTGAACCTTGCTGATTTCGGTACTTTCCCATTCTTATTCACTGACCCAGCTCCTGATGCAAGGACATAAGTGGGAGGAGGGGGCTGGCAGTAAAGGTCTTGAATCTAATTTGGTCCAAAAGGCAAATAAGAGACAGTTTTGAGAGTCAACAACTATAAAGCATTGTGTTCAGAAGAAAACAGCTCAGAAAAGACCAAAAGCAGCAGCAACTGAATTTGGGAATATAGAAGACCAAAGAGCAGGTGAGTATGACCAACCTGACTAGGGCCAGTGAAGGAATGTTAATGGTGATTTCCCAAATGGGTCAACTGCCAGGAAGCAATGAGAAAGTCATTTAGCCTGATCTAGTTTTCAGAAGAAAATGCGTCCTAGGAAACAAAAAGGGAACCAAGGCAAGTAACTTTCCCTTTAACAGGAACTTTATCAACTCAGGAGACCTCACTTCCAGTCCCTAAAACAATTTTTCATCTGCATTAACAAATAGAGCTGGCTGGGTGCAGTGGCTCACACCTGTAATCCCAGCACTTTGGGAGGCTGAAGTGGGCATATCACAAAGTCAAAAGATTGAGACCAGCCTGGCCAACATGATGAAACCTCATCTCTAGTAAAAATACAAAAATTAGGCATGGTGGTGTAGTCCCAGCTACTCGGGAGGCTGAGATAGGAGAATTGCTTGAACCCTGGAGGTGGAGGTTGCAGTGAGCTGAAATCATGCCACTGCACTCCAGCTGGGCAACAGAGTGCACTCCATCTCAAAAAAAAAAAAAAAAAAGTCAAATACATCTGCACAAGCTCGGTGCTGGCTATCAAGGTCTAAATCTCAAATGCTCAGGAGCTTACATTCAAACCAAGTTCCTCTGGTATCTGGTGGTCCTGTGCAGCTGTTGAAACTACAATTCAGTTGTGGATTGTATGCACCCCACTATGCAATGGGATGACTCCCTGAGGCTTCTCTGCCAGATGAAGCTTTTCCCCAAAGTCCCTCATGCGCCATCGGAAAAACCTAGAGCTCCACTCCTTGGGGTTCTACTTTAGTAAGTTAAAGATGTATTTTTAACAAATCCAAGCAATTCTGATACACAGACAGGTTTAGGAACTCCTGGTGAG